TTCATGAACTCAGGTAGGCCCACTCTCTGAAAACGTCTAGGAGCTCGTGGTCCGAAACATTTGTCGACGAGAGATTACTTCTACTGATGATTGGTAGACCCTGCTGTACATGCTCCCCTGTGGAGTTTATTCTTATTATATATCAGACGTATTCAGTTTTTGTCCGTGTGTCATCAGTTATTGTCCGTGTGTCATCAGTTATTGTCCGTGTGTCATCAGTTAGTGTCCGCATGTCATCAGTTAGTGTCCGCGTGTTATCAGTTATTGCCAGTGTGTCATCAGTTAGTGTCCGCGTGTTATCAGTTATTGTCCATGTGTCATCAGTTAGTGTCCGCATGTCATCAGTTAGTGTCCGCGTGTCATCAGTTAATGTCCGCATGTCATCAGTTAGTGTCCGCGTGTTATCAATTATTGCCAGTGTGTCATCAGTTAGTGTCCGCGTGTTATCAGTTATTGTCCGTGTGTCATCAGTTAGTGTCCGCATGTCTTCAGTTAGTATCCGCATGTCATCAGTTAGTGTCCGCGTGTCATCAGTTAGTGTCCGCATGTCATCAGTTAGTGTCCGCGTGTCATCAGTTATTATCGGTGTGTCATCAGTTAGTGTCTTTGTGGGATCAGATGTTGTCCCTGATTGAAAAGCTAGTGTCCGCGGGTGATAAGTTATTGTCCGTATATGATCAGTTGTTATTTGTGCCTTTACGCGTATATATGTGTGTGTGTGTGTGTGTGTGTGTGTGTGTGTGTGTGTGTGTGTGTGTGTGTGTGCGTGTTTTCCCTTCAGAGAGGAGTTAGATGTATGTTTCTGTCTTTCGCTATTTGCAGCTTGTATTCATGTTCTATTGCGTTTCTGTGGTGTCTCTTTTATCCCCTCCATCCATGTCTTTCTTGGTCGACCTCTTGCCTTGTAGACTGCTGTTTCATGTAGTACTAGCTGCTGGCTGGTCCCACTCTGACCAGATGACCGAAACCATGTGATATGCTGTATTAAATCATTTATTTATGGCGACATACACGACTATTAAATGTATCACATCGAGCGGTATGAGTATCTCGATGCACGCATTGATGGGCTGAATGATAATGATAGACAAAACAACGGATAGTTATGGAGATCTTTTATTCAGTTGTGTGCGAGGCTGTTCTGTAGAACAATTCCGTTACTGGATCATTGTTATTAAGCTGGAGTGTTGCTAACACGGTGTCACCCCCTCCCCCTCCCTTTTTTCCCCGACAAGGATGTTTAGATAAACATACTCTAACTCTCTCTAACGCACTGTTACTCACACACACTCTCTCTCTCACTTACTCTCTCACACACACACACATACACACACCCTCTCACTTTCTCTCTCACACACATTTTCTATTTTTCACAAAGTCTCTATCTCTGTCTGTCTGTCTGTCTGTCTGTCTGTCTGTCTGTCTGTCTCTCTCTCTCTCTCTCTCTCTCTCTCTCTCTCTCTCTCTCTCTCTCACACACACATCCTCCTTTTACACTTGTAGCCTCCCCGTCACGTTCTGAAAACATTTTGGTCTCTTCCAAAAATAATTCTGGCAAGCATTATGTCCCTGCCCAATTGTCAGCCTCACATTTTCCCTTGTTTTCCTTATCAGTGTCTTGCTTTCCTTCTCTCTCCTAATTCGCCCCACCTTCTGTCACTCTTACACTGATTCACGCTGTTTATGTCTGGCTTATTCCTGTGCTTATATCCTGTTCCAGCCCCTTGGCCCACTTCCCACCTTCTATGTCTCCCCCCTCCCCAGTTTTATATGTTTTTCTTTGCTCTTTCTCTTTTTCTGTCCCCCCCCCCTTCTCTATATGTCTCCTTTTTCTCTCTTCTCAATTTACCAGTTCACTCCGTGCCTTTCATCTGATCCTTCTGTTTCGTTGTCCTCAATTGTTCTCTTTTTCTTTCATAGTTCTTTCTCTCTATCCTTCTCTTTTTCGCCCTGTATTCATCAAATAACACTAACTCTTGTCCATTCTTTCTATCTCGCTGTTCTTTATTGTCAAATCTTTCCCATGTCCTCTTTCATCCTTCCATTCTTCTCGTCTGTCTTCGAATCGAGGCCTATTTTTTTTAATACTCTTTCGTACTCACAGTTTTCACATTTCTCTTCCATTCCGTATATTATAGTCTTTCTCCTGCTCTTTCTCACCTTCTTCTATCCTCTGTCACCGTCTCCCAGTCTCAATCTTCTTTTTCTTCTGTTACCCTCTCTCTAATCTGTCTCACATTCTCTCTTCCCGTCTCCCAACGTCTCTTCTGTTCTCTTTCCCGTTTACCTTACTATTGTTTTTCCCATTCCCTCTTTAACCGATTGATCTGTCGGTCTCTTTCTCTTGCCTCTATCTCTTTCTTATTCTTACATTCATTGTTCTCTCTCTCTCTCTCTCCCTCCCCCCCCTCTCTCTCTCTCTCTCTCTCTCTCTCTGTCTTTAATTTTCGTCTTTCATTCTGTCTCTCCACTTCTTTCCCAGATGACACGGCTAAACTGTTATGTCTCGACTTTAATGTCTCTCACTCTTCAGAGCATCGGGCCAAATCGTGTTATTTCTTGACTTTAATCGCTTGGTCTGTCTGTCGGTCTCTCTCTCTCTCTCTCTCTCTCTCTCTCTCTCTCTCTCTCTCTCTCTCTGTCTCTCTCCAGTCCCCTCGCTAAGCCGTGCCACTTCCCTCCATTAATCTGTAACTTGCCCAGAGATATTTTCTATCAGCCTAACTAGAGAATCTGCAGATCGATACACGCTTCTCCCCCCCCCCCTCTTCCCCCCGGCCCCACCACCCACACGAGGCCATTATTTGGCCTAGGGCACCTTTAACTTTATTTTATCCACGGGGCTGTTGCCAGGAAGTGTTGCTAGAACAGAATATAACGCTCGGCCTACATCCCTTCCCCACTGTCTGCTTCTTCCTCAACTCCTTCCTTCTTTCTTTCCTTCCATCCGTCTTTCTTATCGGTGTTTATTAAAACATGGTCACATTATTTTGCATAGGAGGATACCACTTTTGTTTAATCCTCTACTAAATATTTTTATGTTCAGTGGGGGATTTGCTGTTTAATCCTCTACTAAATATTTTTATGTTCAGTGGGAGATTTGCTGTTTAATCCTCTACTAAATATTTTTATGTTCAGTGGGAGATTTGCTGTTTAATCCTCTACTAAATATTTTTATGTTCAGTGGGAGATTGGCTGTTTAATCTTCTACTAAATATTTTTATGTTCAGTGGGGGATTTGCTGTTTAATCCGCTTCTTATTTGGCTATGTTCAGTGGGAGATTTGCTGTTTAATCCTCTTCTAATTTGGCTATGTTCAGTAAAAGATTTAATCCTCTTCTAAATGTGTCTATGTTCACTAGGAGATTTGCTGTTTAATCCTCTTCTAAAGTTGGCTATATTCAGTGGGAGATTTGCTGTTTCATCCTCTTATAACCTTTTCTGTGTTCCATGGGAATTTCGCTGTTTAATCCTCTTCTAAATTTGGCTGTGTTCATTAGGAGATTTGCAGTTTAATCCTCTACTAAGTTTGGCTGTTTTCATTAGGAGATTTGCTGTTTGTTTAATCCTCTTCTAGGTTTGGTTATATTCATCTGGAAATTTGCTGTTTAATCCTCTTCTAACTTTCTGTGTTCCATGGGAGATTTGCTGTTTAATCCTCTTCTAACTTTTTCTGTGTTCCATGGGAGATTTGCTGTTTAGTCCTCTTCTAACTTTCTGTGTTCCATGGGAGATTTGCTGTTTAATCCTCTTCTAACTTTTTCTGTGTTCCATGGGAGATTTGCTGTTTAATCCTCTTCTAACTTTCTGTGTTCCATGGGAGATTTGCTGTTTAATCCTCTTCTAACTTTCTGTGTTCCATGGGAGATTTGCTGTTTAATCCTCTTCTAACTTTCTGTGTTCCATGGGAGATTTGCTGTTTAATCCTCTTCTAACTTTTTCTGTGTTCCATGAGAGATTTGCTGTTTAATCCTCTTCTAAATTTGGCTTTGTTCAGTAAAAGATGCAATCCTCTTCTAAATTTGGCTGTGTTCAGTAAAAGATCTAATCCTCTTCTAAATTTGGCTGTGTTCAGTGGTAATTTTGTTGTTTAATCCTCTTCTAAATTTGGCTATGTTCACTAGGAGATTTTGCTGTTCAATCCTCTTCTAAGTTTGGTTATATTTATCTAGAGATTTGCTTTTAATTCTCTTCTAAATTTGGCTATGTTCAGTGGGAGATTTTCTGTTTAATAGTATTCTAACGATGAATATGTTTATTGGGAGATTTGTATTTATGTGAGCGATTTGCTTTTACACTTGCTTGTGTTAAATGTGAGATTTGTGTTTATGTGAGCGATTTGCTTTTACACTTGCTTGTGTTAAGTGCGAGATTTGTATTTATGTGAGCGATTTGCTTTTACACTTGCTTGTGTTAAATGTGAGATTTGTGTTTATGTGAGCGATTTGCTTTTACACTTGCTTGTTTTAAGTGTGAGATTTGTGTTTATGTGAGCGATTTGCTTTTACACTTGCTTGTGTTAAGTGCGAGATTTGTGTTTATGTGAGCGATTTGCTTTCACACTTGCTTGTGTTAAGTGCGAGATTTGTGTTTATGTGAGCGATTTGCTTTTACACTTGCTTGTGTTAAGTGCGAGATTTGTGTTTATGTGAGCGATTTGCTTTTACACTTGCTTGTGTTAAGTGCGAGATTTGTGTTTATGTGAGCGATTTGCTTTTACACTTGCTTGTGTTAAGTGCGAGATTTGCTGTCTAATCCACTTCTACCCTTGGATGTATTAGGTGGAAGATTCAGTTTGTTGAATCCTTTCAGTACCATTTCCTGAACTGCCGGCCTCTTGTCATTGACATTTATCGAAGAGTTTCTTTGGATATCCTCACTTCCTGAACTTATTTGTTTCTCATTCCACTACCTCTTTAGGGAGCCGCATACACAACAGAACAATCGTAACCCAGTGTTAAAGTAAAAGGATATCATGTTTCTCCTTTGTGTGGTTTCAGGAGATTGTCAAGTCTGATGGCACACCTCTTGTTGAGAGCTTTTGCATACCATCAATTAGCAAGGCCTCAGTATACCATGATGTAAGTAGCACAAATGCCCTTTTAAAAATAAAAGCAGCACATTTGCCATCCTATAAAAGCAGCACATATACCTTCCCATAAAAGCAGCACATATGCCTTTCCATAAAAGCAGCACATACACCTTCCATAAAAGCAGCACATATGCCTTTCCATAAAAGCAGCACATATGCCTTCCCATAAAAGCAGCACATATGCCTTCCCATAAAAGCAGCACATATGCCTTCCTATAAAAGCAGCACATATGCCTTCCTAAAAAAGCAGCAAAAATGCCTTTCTGTAAAAGCTACACGTATGCCTTCTTATAAAAAGCAGCACAAATGCCTTCCTAAAAAAGCAGCACATATGCCTTCCTAAAAAAGCAGCACATATGCCTTCCTATAAAAGCAGCACATATGCCTTCCTATAAAAGCAGCACATACGCCTTCCTATAAAAGCAGCACATATGCTTTCCTATAAAAGCAGCACATACGCCTTCCTATAAAAGCAGCACATATGTCTTCCTATAAAAGCAGCACATATGCCTTCCTATAAAAGCAGCACATACGCCTTCCTATAAAAGCAGCACATATGTCTTTCTTTAGAAGCAGCACATATGCCTTCCTATAAAAGCAGCACATATGGCTTCCTATAAAAGCAGCACATATGCCTTTCTATAAAAGCAGCACATATGCCTTCCTATAAAATCAGCACATATGCCTTTCTATAAAAGCAGCACAAATGCCTTCCTAAAAAAGTAACACATATTCATTTTTATAAAAGTAAGTAAAGAAAGGACCCTTTTCATGTCATCGGCACATTCTTTTCTCTCTTTTCTTTCTTTCTTTCTCCCTACCAGTTGTTTTCAGATATAAAAGCCACAGGTTTTCAGATGACAAAGCCACAGGTTTTCATATGATACAGCCACAGATTTTCAGATGACACAGCCACAGGTTTTCAGATGATACAGCCACATGCCTCTGTGAAGTCTGTGGTGCAGTTTAGACCCTTTCACTCATGCCAACCAGCCAGACTCTGGAGCTCTGTACTACACGTAGATAGCTCATCTGCAACACATGTTGTGCCTACAGTCTAACATCCATTGTTCTCATGAATCTGTGTTATGTTCTGCTTACAGTGTCTATTGTTCTGATGAATATCTTTGATATTGTGTGAACAGCCTCGCATCCTTGGGGTAACAGAACCATTGACAGAGCATGCTCTTTGCTCCCTCAGCCCGACACAGCCTATGTGGAGATGTGGACCATACCCACAGTATGAAGGGGTCAATGCACAGAACAGGTGAGAGCATATATTTAGGTTCCAGTGCACAGAACAGATGAGATGAGGCTTAGAACAGATGAGAATATTGAGTTAGTGTTTGAGGCTCAGAACAGATGAGAATATTGAGTTAGTGTTTGAGGCTCAGAACAGATGAGAATATTGAGTTAGTGTTTGAGGTTCAGAACAGATGAGAATATTGAGTTAGTGTTTGAGGTTCAAAACAGATGAGAATATTGAGTTAGTGTTTGAGGTTAAGAACAGATGAGAATATTGAGTTAGTGTTTGAGGCTCAGAACAGATGAGAATATTGAGTTAGTGTTTGAGGTTCAGAACAGATGAGAATATTGAGTTAGTGTTTGAGGCTCAGAACAGATGAGAATATTGAGTTAGTGTCTGATGCTTAGAACAGATGAGAGCATTTAGTGAGGGTTTGATGCTCAGAAAAGATGAGAATATTGAGTTAGTGTTTGATGCTTAGAACAGATGATAATATTGAATTAGGGTTCAGTGCACAGAACAGATGAGAACATTTAGTTAGTGTTCGATGCACAAAACAGGTGAGAGTATAGAGCAGGAATTAGAATATTATTCCTCTCTTATACATCTAAAGCAGTTAAAGATAAAGTAAAGAAAAAGAAGAAAGAAAGAAGAAGAAGAGTAGAGGCAAGTGATATAATTTTTTGGGTTTCATTCTCATGTGTATATGCCATTTGTCACATCAGTGTTGACTTGCCATGGTCAGAATGACATTAGCTGTATTGTTTCTCTCACCAGGTTCAGCATTCTTGCCTTTGTTATGCAGCGCTTCAATACCCAGATCGACAGCTATCACAAACATGCGCTGCATGCCTTGTGTCAAGCTGCAGTTAAGTAAGTGAACCCAGAGCCTGGCTTCCTGGGCTTTGCTGCTGTCATTCATCTTTTAAATGTTTTTTATAGAAATTCATGACCCACCACATTGTTATTTTGTAGTAATTCATGACCCACCACATTGTTATTTTGTAGTAATTCATGACCCACCACATTGTTATTTTGTAGTAATTCATGACTTATCACATTGTTATTTTGTAGTAATTCATGACCCACCACATTGTTATTTTGTAGTAATTCATGACTTATCACATTGTTATTTTGTAGTAATTCATGACCCACCACATTGTTATTTTGTAGTAATTCATGACCCACCACATTGTTATTTTGTAGTAATTCATGACCCACCACATTGTTATTTTGTAGTAATTCATGACCCACCACATTGTTATTTTGTAGTAATTCATGACCCACCACATTGTTATTTTGTAGTAATTCATGACCCACCACATTGTTATTTTGTAGTAATTCATGACCCACCACATTGTTATTTTGTAGTAATTCATGACTTATCACATTGTTATTTTGTAGTAATTCATGACCCACCACATTGTTATTTTGTAGTAATTCATGACTTATCACATTGTTATTTTGTAGTAATTCATGACCCACCACATTGTTATTTTGTAGTAATTCATGACTTATCACATTGTTATTTTGTAGTAAATCATGACCCACCACATTGTTATTTTGTAATAATTCACGACCCACCACGTTGTTATTTTGTTTAATCCACTTCTACTCTAATGTCATTTCAGAGTGAGTACAGCTGGTTTCCACCTGCACCAGGAGTCCAGTGAGAAGCAGCTCACTCGTGTGGCCGTTAGTCCTTCTCTGTTGGTCGAATATATTTTTGGTATCTATTTTGCCATGTAAGTTCTTGGTGTTGCTAGAGTTCTTGTCTGCTGCCTTTTTTGTATACATACACGCATACATGTGCACCCACACACACTCCCTCATGTGTACCCACACACATATACATACATTCACAGAAATGCGCTCACACACACATGCACACATACACACATGACACACACATTAGATATATACACGCATACACTCACACTTGCACACATATATATACACACACTCACACACATAATTTATCAGACACGTACAAACATACAACACAGGTATAGACATTTACACACAGACAAACAAATATTCCCACATATAGTAGACTACAGATTTCATAGGTACAATGGATTTATGCACTGAACTGAGAGACTCTAGTGTTACTGAACAATGGCGGCCGATCATAGCACATGTCATGAACAGTGAAGATGATTCTTGAAAGCAAGCCAAACGTACACTGACAAATTCTAACATATATATATAATTCAAACTGATATATATATATAATCTTTTCAGACGGAAATCTAATTCAAAAACACATGCAGTCCAAACACATCCAGTCCAAACACATCCAGTCCAAATAAACATGCAGTCCAAATACACATCCAGTACAAACACATCCAGTCCAAATACACATCCAGTCCAAATACACATCCAGTCCAAAAACACATCCAGTCCAAACACACATCCAGTCCAAATACACATCAAGTCCAAATACATCCAGTCCAAACATACATCCAGTCCAAACACACATCCAGTCCAAATACACCCAGTCCAAATAATCCAGTCCAAAGACATCCAGTCCAAACACACATCCAGTCCAAATACATCCAGTCCAAATACATCCAGTCCAAATACACATCCAGTCCAAACACACATCCAGTCTAAATATATCAAGTCTAAATAAATCCAGTCCAAATACATCCAGTCTAAACACACATCCAGTCCAAACACATCTAGTCCAAATACATCCAGTCCAAATACATCCAGTCTAAACACAAATCTAGCCCAAACACATCCAGTCCAAACACATCTAGTCCAAACACACATCCAGTCCAAATGCACATCCAGTCCAAATGCACCCAGTCCAAAAACATCCAGTCCAAACACACATCCAGTCCAAATATATCCAGTCCAAATAAATCCAGTCCAAACACACATCCAGTCCAAACACACATCCAGTCCAAACACACATCCAGTCCAAATACATCCAATCCAAATACATCCAGTCCAAACACACATCCAGTCCAAACACACATCCAGTCCAAACACACATCCAGTCCAAACACACATCCAGTCTAAATATATCCAGTCCAGATACATCCAGTCCAAACACATCTAGTCCAAATGCATCCAGTCCAAATACATCCAGTCTAAACACACATCTAGTCCAAACACATCCAGTCCAAACACATCTAGTCCAAACACACATCCAGTCCAAATGTACATCCAGTCCAAATGCATCCAGTCCAAACACATCCAGTCCAAACACACATCCAGTCCAAATACATCCAGTCCAAACACATCTAGTCCAAACACATATCCAGTCCAAACACACATCCAGTCCAAACACATCCAGTCTAAATAAATCCAGTCCAAACACACATCCAGTCCAAATACATCCAGTCCAAATACATCCTGTCCAAATACATCCAGTCCAAATACATATCCAGTCCAAACACACATCCAGTCCAAACACACATCCGGTCCAAACTTACATCTAATCCGGCTATGTGTCTTGTGGTAATATTTTCTATCATTGAACGTCTGGTTTTACTAATATTTTATGTCATGGAATGTCTGGTTTTTTTTTTCTATCTGGTATTGAATGTCTGTTGTGTAGTAATATTTTTGGCATTGAGTGTCTGTTTTTAGTAATATTTTATGTTTTAGAGTGTCTTTTGTGTAGTGAGCTTTTCTGTCATTGAGTATCTGTTGTGTAGTGAGATTTTCTCTTATTGAGTATCTGTTGTGTAGTGAGATTTTCTCTTATTGAGTATCTGTTGTGTAGTGAGATTTTCTCTTATTGAGTATCTCTTGTGTAGTGAGATTTTCTCTTATTGAGTATCTCTTGTGTAGTGAGATTTTCTCTTATTGAGTATCTGTTGTGTAGTGAGATTTTCTCTTATTGAGTATCTGTTTTGTAGTGAGATTTTCTCTTATTGAGTATCTGTTGTGTAGTGGGATTTTCTCTTATTGAGTATCTGTTGTGTAGTGAGATTTTCTCTTATTGAGTATCTGTTGTGTAGTGAATTTTCTCTTATTGAGTATCTGTTGTGTAGTGAGATTTGCTCTTATTGTGTATCTGTTGTGTAGTGAGATTTTCTCTTATTGAGTATCTGTTGTGTAATAGTATTTTCTCTCAGTGAGTAAAGGGATATTTGATGCCAGCGTAAGGTGACAGACAAGAAAATGACATTCATCTGAAAAGTTTAGGAAACTGTGTTGTTTTCTCTGCAGGTTCCATGGCCAGCACACGATTGCTCTCAGGGCTGTCGAGTCTATCCACAACAGGGCCAGTTACGAGCTGTACTCGGATGTGTTGCTGGTAAGTTTTCTCTTCTACCTCCTCCTTTTTCATCTTCTGCTCCTTTTCATCACTTCTTCTTTTTCAGCATCTTTTTCTACTTCTTCTTCTCCTCCTCCTCCTCCATCTTCTACTTCCTCCTCTTCTTCTGCTCCTCATCCTCCTTATCCTATTCTTTTTCTTCCTCTTTTTCACACGATTACCAGAGTCAGGGAATAGGTTACTGCTGTTGTCTCATCCCATCTGCTTGTCTAAGCCATCCAGATATGTGGAAAGCATCACTTGAGAGGTCCCAGGTAGTTGGCATCCTTTTGATAATTTTCCTTCAGGTGATGCCGGTGTGTTGGGAAATGAGCAGGCAGATAGACTGGCTGGCTCTGCACCAGTGAGTGAACAGTGCGGAGGCACAGATAGATCATTGCGGTCTAAGGAGAATGGCGCTGTGAGGAGTTACCAAGGAATCTGGCCGATGCCTAACACTCAGGGAAAGGATGAGACGGATATACAATCAGAGAGTTACTGGTGCCATCGGAATTGGAACTCTTCGCTTGCTGCTGAAGATGAGGACTGAGCACTTATGGGATGTTGATTCCTAATTCAACATTCAGCATTCTGAAAATGAAAATGACATTAAAAATTATTGATTGGCTCCAGTTTTCAAGACATATGCTACCAGTTCAGTTTGTGTGTGAGTGTGTGTGTGTGTGTGTATGTATATATATAAAATGATGAAACTGTTGTGGGTGATTGCACGATTTTAACATTTTTTTTTAAATGTCGTTTTCGTTTTAATATCATCAGAATTAGTTAAGATTAGCTATTTTAATTTCTGGTACATTTTAATTTTGGACTAGTATTATCCGCGGGGAGAGAACAATTTGTCAGTAATATTAGCCATAACTTTTGCTTCCGTGTAAACCCTTTAAAGATTAGTCATTGTGTTATTTTGTGGTATAAGACTGGGCTGTGATTTGTGCACCTTTTTTTGCCCAACACATCTGACTTCAGCAAATCCCCTTTTAGTCATCCTTTATGATAAGCCTGCTAGGGAGCTGTGGCTTTATTCTCTTCCCCCATCCCATTTGGGGTTTGGGAGCTTTATTCTCTCCTCCATCCCATTTGGGGCTTGGGAGCTTTATTCTCTCCACCTTCCCATTTGGGGCTTGAGAGCTTTATTCTCTCCCCCTTCCCATTTGGGGCTTGGGAGCTGTGGCTTTATTCTCTCCCCCATCCCATTTAGGGCTTGGGAGCTGTAGCTTTATTATCTCCCCCTTCCCACTTGGGGCTTGGGAGCTATGGCTTTATTCTCTCCCCCTTTCCATTTAGGGCTGGGGTGCTGTGGCTTTATTCTCTCCCCCTTTCCACTTGGGGCTTGGGAGCTGTAGCTTTATTATCTCCCCCTTCCCACTTCGGGCTTGGGAGCTGTGGTTTTATTCTTTTCCCCTTCTCATTTGGAACAGGGGAGCTATGGCTTTATTCTTTCCCCCTTCCCACTTGGGGCGAGGGAGCTGTGGCTTTATTCTCTCCCCCTTCCCATTTAGGGCTGGGGAGCTGTGGCTTTATTCTCTCCCCCTTCCCATTTAGGGCTTGGGAGCTGTAGCTTTTTTCTCTCCCCCTTCCCATTTGGGTCTAGGGATCTGTGGCTTCATTCTCTCCGCGATCCCATTTAGGGCTTGGGAGCTGTAGCTTTATTCTCTCCCCCTTCCCACTTGGGGCTTGGGAGCTATGGCTTTTTTCTCTCCCCCTTTCCATTTAGGGCTGGGGAGCTGTGGCTTTATTCTATCCCCCTTCCCACTTGGGGCTTGGGAGCTGTGGTTTTATTCTTTTCCCCTTCTCATTTGGAACAGGGGAGCTATGGCTTTATTCTTTCCCCCTTCCCATTTGGGGCGAGGGAGCCATGCCTTCATTCTCTCCCCCCCCCCCCTTCCCACCTGGGGCTAGGGAGCTGTGGCTTTATTCTCTTCCCCCTTCCCACCTGGGGCTGGGAAGCCCACACAGGAAGAACTATTGATGCTGGATGTATGAAACCTGTTGTGCTTGTGTTTTTTCACAGGTGACTGGTGCCATTTTACACTCCCGCCACCGAGGCAATTTGAGGTTTGAGGCTACAGAGGTCAGTCTGGGCACTCAAAAGACAACCTACTCTCTGAAGAACACCATAACTAATGCTTCCTTCAAGGCCAAGAAGTTACCAGGTGAGGGCTGTGATGTTGAAGTGTGGGGTGTTTCAGTGTGGGGAGTGGTGTGTCTAGAGTTTCTAGGGTGGGGATGTTTTACTATATGGGTTTCTCAGACTGGGCTGTCTTAAGTGTGGCATGTCTCAGTATAGTGGTGTCTCAGTATAGTGGTGTTTCAGTATAGTGGTGTTTCAGTATAGTAGTGTTTCAGTATAGTGGTGTTTCAGTATTGTAGTGTTTCAGTATAGGGGTGTTTCACTATGAGGCTGTCCAATTGATGGTGAGGCAACTTGAAATGGTGACCATCATCGTTGGTGGTGGTGATTGTAATTGTGTTTTTGTTGGAAGAGTTGATGATGATAGTGAGGGTGATGGTAATGATGGTTGAAGTGGTGAAAGTGATGATGAAAATTGTGATGTTCATAACTGTGACACATGTAACAGCAGTGAAATTGAGGGCTGTCATGGTGATTGTAGTGGCGGTGGTTGTAATGACAGTAGTGATTAGTGGTGGTTGCAGTAATGGTTGTGGTGATGGTTGCAGTGATGGTTGTGACAGTAACAGTTATTGTATGGAGGTGGCAGTGATGGTTGTGGTGGTGGTGGTTGCAGTGATGGTTGTGGTGGTGGTGGTTGCAGTGATGGTTGTGACAGTAACACTTGTTGTACGGAGGTGGCAGGGATGGTTGTGGTGGTGGTGGTTGCAATGATAGTTGTGGTGGTGGTGGTTGCAGTGGTGGTGGTGGTTGCAGTGATGGTTGTGGTGGTGGTGGTTGCAGTGATGGTTGTGGTGGTGGTGGTTGCAGTGATGGTTGTGGTGGTGGTGGTTGTAGTGATGGTTGTGACGGTAACAGTTGTTGTACAGAGTTGGCAGGGATGGTTGCAGTGATGGTTGTGGTGGTAGTGGTGGTGGTTAAAGTGATGGTTGTGGTGGTGGTGGTGGTTGCAGTGATGGTTGTGGTGGTGGTGGTTGCAGTGATGGTAGTCACCATACTGATTGTAGTATTATTGGTGGTTGATGTGATGATAGTGTCAGTAATGATTGTGGTAGTGGAGGTAGGGATTGCAGTGAGAGTACTGATTGTAATAGCAGTGGTGGTAGTGACAGTATGGTAATAATGGTATTGTGCACATTTAGATTGGCTGCTGCTGCTCATCTGGGTAGTGAGCTGCTTTGTGATCAAGCAGACATTATGAATGCTCTCTGGGATCAAATGAACAGACAGAGCATGTGTATTTGGAGAGATAGATTCAGAGAAATGTGAGCGCAGGTTTTGGACGATGTTCAGCTTGGAAGGTTTTTGTTCCATCATTGTGGGAACTCTGTGTTGGCTACTGAAGAAGTGGATAGAGCAGATGTGGGAATGTCCCGACCAGTGTTGCTACTTTTCTTTGACAAAAAAACATCCAAAATGGAGTCAAAAAATATTGAAAAACATCTAAATTTGCGTGAAAAGCATCGAGAAAAAACATCAAAACGGAAAGAGTCACAAATTACATAGCAATTGATATGACTTACCATATAGAATCAGGTCCTCATCTTTACTGAAGTCTGCCTTACAAGATCCACAGGATAAACTTAGCTAGGATGGTGAAGTTGAAGCTTCAGATCCAAAATGACTCTGGTATGCTTTAGCTGTCCCAATTTCTTTTAATACCCAATCAGGGAGCTGATAAGTGGAACAGCCTTTTCCTACTCTTATCAGGCCGAATTTTATTGTCAAGATAGCATTTAAAAGGTCCTATTTCATCCTGTTTCTTAGATTAGATTTGATAAATTCACTCCAAATGAAAAACTTCTAGAAAAACATCTACCATCTAAATGTCAAAAATACCATCTAAATGCACGGGAAAACATCTGAATCTGGATGTAAAACGCCCAAAGTGGCAACATTGGTCCCGACTGCAGTCATCATCATCATTAACCATTTCTGCCATTAAATGTGATCTGTCTAGAACATACTTGCTGACACTGGCTGTTGTTATGCCGTGCAGGCATAAAGTTTCTTTAATGTTGTCGATCCACTTTTTTATGGCTGTCCTCTTCCTCTTGTAGCTGATCTTCTGAGATGTTGCACCTGTGATGGTATTTGATGTTGCGCTTGTGATGGTATTTGATGTTGCTCTTGTGATGGTATTTGATGTTGCTGCATTCTAATGAGATAGACAAACAACTTGATCTGCTGTATCTCAATAAATCTAGTACAAGATGTCGTTTCCATCATCTGTCTTATAGTATCATTGTTCACTTGATCTCAAATGGTTACGTTGACAGCTTTTCTTTGGCATCTCATCTTGCAGGTGATGATTTTGCGTACATGAGCCTTAGATAACGTTTGGCACTGGTAGCTCACTGTTGGAATGAATATGCTGTTTATAATCTGTTTATAATGGTGCCAATTCTTAATTTATTCATTCATTCATTCTAGACTGACATATTTTGTTTTTTGTCTGTTATAGATGACATAGACTTTGTGGAAGAAGACGAGAACCCTAAACTGCCGCCCCTGGACGAAGATCAGGAACACTCTCTAGCCAAAGGTTTCAAGGCCAAGCTGATGAATATTGGTGGCAAGCTTGCGGGGGACAAGAACCGCAACCGTGACACAGTGAGACGAGACAGTGATACCCCTTCTATGAAATCAGGCAGTGGGGCTGATTTTGTTGACTCAGTTGGCGTGGCTGTGAGAAACCCTACAGGAGGAAGCAGCGGGAAGGTTCTTGTCGATGTGCTGGAGATGCAGCCTCTCAGAGGGAAGGCAAACCAGGATGTTGATGGGGAGGGCACTGGTAGAAACTCTTTTGGAGATAAAAATATCGGGGAAAATAAGCAAGGGAAAGTGTCTTCTTCCCCGATAGTTTTTTCTAAGAAGTCTGGGATCATAAGACAGACATCCAACAGTACCTCAGGGCTGGTGAACTCAGAGTCGGCATCTGTTACGCCATTAGGGTACACAATATCTGCTCCTTCATCACTTCTAGCAGTGTCATCTCCACCAACATCCTCCTCTTCTAATGTGATCAATGGTAGAGCCAGTTCAGGTGGTAGTAACAGCGTCATTAGCAGCATTCGTCAGAACCTCACAGACAATAGATCAAAGCCTTCAGACTTACCTCATAACCATCGAGCCCAGTCTGAAGGACCTAGTAGAGATGGGTCCAAACTGGGTTCAAACCAGTCATCTTACCCATCCTTGCTATCATCCCATCCATTCCCAAACAGCCAGGACTCTAACTTCCCCACCAACCTCTCAGAACCATCATTAAGAGATCATTCCACCTCAGCTTCTCCAACTGACTTATCTGCCAGTTCTGATTCTGTACCAGCAGACGTCGAGTCAGCTGGTGGAGCCAGTCCCTCGCTGAAAATGGCGGTTAACCAGACTTCATGTAGTACAAACTTATGATCACCTATCATCTCCCATGCTCTCCATCTAGGTTTGGTTACCTCTTTTGGGGTGGGGGAAAAAAGGGGGTGGAGGTGAGATATTTACACTTCCCCACCTCAACAAGCATGTCGTAAAAAATTACTAATTAGAGGTTTGGTGAGGTTAGATGCATTGGTGTGCAGATAGTGCCTAGCTGTAAACCGCAACACAATGTGCCCACTGCGCCCTTAAGAGCAGAAGAAAACCATCCGTACTGTTAATGTTCTTTATTACTCTCTCCGCCATAATAACCATTGTTTGTAACATGTTATTGAAATTTTGTACGGTGAACAATTTAGGTACTTGGTCTGTCATCTAGCGCTGATGTCATTGTAAGCTGAGTGCCTGATATGTCTTCTAGCACTGATGTCATTTTAAGCTGAGTGCCCACTATGTCATCTTGCACTGATATCATTTTTGCTGAGTGCCCACCATGTCATCTAGCACTGATGTCATTGTACGCCGAGTGCCCACCATGTCATCTAGCACTGATGTCATTGTAAGCTGAGTGCCTACCATGTCATCTTGCACTGATGTCATTGTAAGCTGAGTGCCTACCATGTCATCTAGTACAGATGTCATTGTAAGCTGAGTGCCTACCATTCATCTAGTACTGATGTCATTGTAAGCTGAGTGCCTACCATGTCATCTAGTACTGATGTCATTGTAAGCTGAGTGCCTACCATGTCATCTAGTACTGATGTCATTGTAAGCTGAGTGCCTACCATGTCATCTAGTACTGATGTCATTGTAAGCTGAGTGCCTACCATGTCATCTTGCACTGATGTCATTGTGAGCTGAGTGCCACTATGTCATCTAGCACTGATGTCATTGTAAGCTGAGTGCCGCTATATCATCTAGCACTGATGTCATTGTAAGCTGAGTGCCGCTATGTCATCTAGCACTGATGTCATTGTAAGCTGAGTGCCGCAATGTCATCTAGCACTGATGTCATTTTAAGCTGAGTGCCTACCATGTCATCGAGCACTGATGTCATTGTAAGCTGAGTGCCGCTATGTCATCTAGCACTGATGTCATTGTAAGTTGAGTGCCCACCATGTCATCTAGCACTGATGTCATTGTAAGCTGAGTACCCACCATGTCATCTTGCATGATATCATTTTAGCTGAGTGCCTACCATGTCATCTAGCACTGAATTCATTGTAAGCTGAGTGACCACTATGTCATCTAGCACTGATGTTGTTGCACTCTGTTGTCGCCCTCCCTGTAACTAGTACTGATATTATTGCAACCTAAGTGCCCTCTCTGTCATTAAGTACTGATAGTATGCAACCTGAATGTCCAGTCGCTCATCTAGCGCTCAAGTTATTGCAGATTTAGTAATAGCCTTAAAAAATATAGTGCTGATATAATTGCAGCTTGAGTACCTCCCTGTCCTCTTTGCTCTGTCATATAGCACTAATATTGCAACCCTAGTATCATCTTGTCATAGCACCAGTTTTATTGCAACCTTAGTACCCACCCTGTCATACAGCACTACTATTGCAACCCTAATACCCATCCAGTCATATCACCAGTGTTATTGCAACCCTAGCCTGACCTGTTATATAGCACTATTATTGCAACCCTATTACCTTCCCTGTCATGTAGCACTAATTTTGCAACCCAACCTTAGTACCTGCCTTGTCATATAGCACTAATATTGCAACCCTAGTTACCTAACTGTGTATCCCTGTCTAGACTGATGGACATTGGGGGACAAGACGTTTCATTAACCAACACAGAACAGGCGTCATTCGTTGTTTGACACTTGTGAGATCAGAGCACCTGTGGATCTGTCCGGAGTGCTGTGATGATAATCCTTTCTAATCACTAATTGCAACCCTTCCCTGTCATTTAGCATTAATTTTGAAACCTTAGTACCCACCATGCCATCCAGTATTAATATTGCAACCTTACTACATGTCATGTCATCTGGCACTTATATTGCAACCTTAGTACCTGCCATGCTATCTGGCACTTATATTGCAACCTTACTACAAGGGAAAGTCAATAAGTAAGTAACAAATGGTTATGAGATGGCAGAAAAATATAGTTGGTAGTTTCTAAAGGTGTCATTAGGTGACAGCAGCATCGAACTTTATGTCTCCGTTCATTAGGCGGGACTAAGGGTTGCATGTGCATTCGCAACACAGAAACTAAATGGCAACTGTACGTACGGAGTGTACCCCTGGTCCTGTTAAGATTGCAACAGATGCATCCATGCAGCAGATGGAGGAGATGATTATTGGTGGCGAGTAAAGGTTCAGCATACACTGAAAACCCGCCTTGGTGGGAGACATTTTACGGATGACACAGAAGTTAAAATGAAGTGAAAATGTGGTTTAGAAAACAGAGCATGCAGTTTTATGCAGCAGGTTTGGGAGGACTAATAAAACGATGAGACAGGTGCATCAATGTTGGTGGAAATTAGGTTGAAAAATAAAAGGACAGTGTATGTGCAAAATTTAATGGTTTTAAAGTTGTTATCATCTTTAGGTTTTTTTGGTTTAAACAACCATTTCTGACTTACTTATTAACTTTTCCTCGTACATGTCATGTCTTCTAGTATTAGTATGGCAACCTTATTACCTGCCATACCATCCAGTACTAATCTTGCAACCTTACTATGTGTTATGACATCTAGTATTAGTATGGCAACCTTAGTACCTGCCATACCATCCAGTACTAATCTTGCAACTTTACTATGTGTTATGACATCTAGTATTAGTATGGCAACCTTAGTACCTGCCATACCATCCAGTACTAATCTTGCAACTTTACTATGTGTTATGACATCTAGTATTAGTATGGCAACCTTAGTACCTGCCATACGATCCAGTACTAATATTGCAACCTTACTATGTGTTATGACATCTAGTATTAGTATGGCAACCTTAGTACCTGCCATACCATCCAGTACTAATATTGCAACCTTAGTACCTGCCATGCTATCTAGCTCTAATGTTGCAACCTTAAAATCTTTTCTTAGCACTAATATTATTGCAACCTTCCCTATCATTTAGCATAATATTATTGCAACCTGTATACCCACCCTGTCATCTAGCAGCGGTGTTGCAACCTGTATAATCACTCTGTCATCTAGCAGCGGTGTTGCAACCTGTATACCCACCCTGTCATCTAGCAGTGGTGTTGCAACCTGTATACCCACCCTGTCATCTAGCAGGGGTGTTGCAACCTGTATACCCACCCTGTCATCTAGCAGGGGTGTTGCAACCTGTATACCCACCCTGTCATCTAGCAGTGGTGTTGCAACATGCTGACCACCCAATGGCAGTCACATTTTTATTTTATTTGTCAAAACCCATAATTAATTGTGTCCGTCTGTCCAGTCAAATTCGCATCAAGTTTTGATTTAGTTGAATGTTGGTAGAATTTATGTTATAAGTTGTTACCATTACGTTGTATTTATTTATATACTATCTGCACCAGTACTACGTAGGGAGTACAAGAAGAAACGTGTGACAGGGAGAAATGTGTATGTTTGTGTATACAATCACTGTATGAAGGCAAGACAGGGAGAAATGTGTATGTTTGTGTATACAATCACTGTATGAAGGCAAGACAGGGAGAAATGTCTATGTTTGTGTATACAATCACTGTATGAAGCCAAGACAGGGAGAAATGTGTATGTTTGTGTATACAATCACTGTATGAAGCCAAGACAGGGATAAATGTGTATGTTTGTGTATACAATCACTGTATGAAGCCAAGACAGGGAGAAATGTCTATGTTTGTGTATACAATCACTGTATGAAGCCAAGACAGGGAGAAATGTGTATGTTTGTGTTTGCAATTTGCAATCACTGTATGAAGCCAAGACAGGTTAAGAAATAAGAGACATATCTGAGTTGGTATCTCATTTCTAACTTGATGCACAGTTTAGTTAACCAAGATAGACAGGTTAATTGGGGTGATTTCTTGATGTACAGTTTAGTTAACCAAGATAGACAGGTTAATTGGGTTGAGTTCTTGATGTACTAGTTAATCAAGATAGACAGGTTAATTGGGTTGAATTCTTGATGTACTAGTTAACCAAGATAGACAGGTTATTTGGGTTGATTTCTTGATGTAAAATTTAGTTAACTAAGACAGACAGGTTAATTGGGGTGATAACTTGATGCACAGTTTAGTTAACCAAGATATACAGGTTAATTGGGGTGATAACTTGATGCACAGTTTAGTTAACCAAGATAGACAGGTTGATTGGGGTGATAACTTGATGTACAGTTTAGTTAACCAAGTTAGACAGGTTAATGGGGTTGATTTCTTGATGTACAGAATAGCTAACCACGACAAACAGATTACTTGAATTAATGAATTGGGAGTACAGTTATCTTACTAATGCTACATCTCATGTAACACCTGTTCTATCTCTGTGGTAGAGCGTCTCATCATGACCATGATTGTGCAGAGTTCCATCCCGGTGAAGATTCTTCTTGTCTGTTGTCCTTGTTGAGTGTCAGCAGCACAAGTATTGTGGTGTAAGTGTTTGAAAGTCTTGGTGGATGGTGGATCTCAGCGGCTAAGTGTATTAGTTGTTGGCTCAGCAATCTAAAGTTCATAGGTCCATTGTCTCACTGTAAAGGTCATGGATCCATTGTCCCACTGTAAAGGTCATTTTCCTATTGTCTGACTCTAAAGGTCATGTTTCCATTGTCCCACTCTAAAGGTCTTAGATCCATTGTTCCACTGTAAAGGTCATGGGTCTATTGTCCCACTTTGTTATAAGAATACCGCATTTTGAGGATTTGAAGCCAGGATCACCAAGTGAACTTGTGAGTGCACTATTCACTACAACACTATAGCTTGTAATCTGAGCATACACGTGGATAACAAAAGCATGGAGTGCTCATTTAGTTACGGCACATATATATCTAAGGGAGCGGCCGTGGTCTGGGTGCTAAACGCTCGCCTGCGGATCAGAAGGTCGTGGGTTCGGTACATAACAGGGAGCT